TTATATCGAAACAGATGAAATGTAATGAATTATTATGCTGCCATGCCTATCACGGTGCACTTGACTGAAGTTTTTTTCAAGGAAAACGCAATTGCAACATGAAACCGAATGGTTTAAATAGACAAGCATATGAATCGACTTTAAAACAGTTTTTTTTAAGAGGCACATCGCCTATAATCTTTGTTTATTTTAAAATTGTGTTTGGTAATTAAATAAACCATTTACTTCACCAGTTACGTGATATGAAATATATTAGAAAAAATATGTTAAAGCGGGAATGATATTACATTAACGTGTATGTATGTATGAATATTCGTTTTTAACACTACTGGGGGTGGCAACTGGAAGTATAAACATAATTTTTAATTACTTATACTTTTAAAAATAGAACACAGACATACGAACAAAATTGCAAAACTAAGTTTTTCCGACTCAGTGATGTGTAAAATGTCGAGATTTGTGAAAATTTCGATTTCGACTTATTGCACTATTTCAATACTTCTATACTTTGTATACAAGAAAGTAAACCATGTAGTGTAATACGGCATATAACGTTTATTTCGTTTTATTTTGTTTAGTTTTAATTATGTTTTAATTATGTAGTCGTAAAAGCTGTACAGAAAAGTTCTATATATCAATAGCCTAGTAAACAATAAGGTGTTTCCATTTAGTGAATATTATATGATGTATCACGTTGGTATCATCTATATAAGATGAGGCTGCTTTCACGGGGTTGGGGGGGGGGTGGATGGATGGGGTTGGGGGAAAGGAGGGTTTTAGTGTTTTAAAGCAAATATTTTCAGTGGCAGCATTGATACTGTCGAATTCAGTTGTAAAGCTAGAAATCTCAATCTAATTGTATTAAAACTTTAGTTCCGTCTTTAAAATAAAGCTTTCCTATTTTAAAAAGAAAAATGTTAAGAAACGTCCATTGCTTCATCGTGAATGCTTTAAATAAATTAACATATTTTTACATGTGATCTTAATGGCGTAAGCACGTTTGTATTGTTATTCTGCTAATAATGCACTATAACTAACTTTAAATATTCGTTAATATTTTATGCATAACATTTTTACTTAAAAACTAATGTTGATCATAAAATGTCAAATTGTTTATACCATGTTTATTCGACTAGAGATAGCAATAGCGTTGATTTAATTAGTGTGTGTCATATATATATATATATATATATATATATATATATATATATATATATATATATATATATATATATATATATATATATGTAACATTATAAAATCGATATTAGTTAACTATCTAATTGTTTAATTAATGTCACAATCAGATCGACGTCTATATAGTCACGTGCATCGTTAACACACAGTGCCGATTTCCCGAATTATAAACTACCCAAAATAATGGTACTGAATATTATAGTTTATCGAGCGTGTATTGTATTCGGATGGGCGTTAGATAATAGATACCTGTTTCTTTACCCTCGGATATGTCTTTTTCAAAGTAGTTAGCCTCAGGAAGTCTTCTACACTTCTGACGAATCAACTTTAAATGTTTGTTCCTGTCAGGCAGTCTTTTATTTAGCACTTTCTCAAATAAATTGATGTCATTTCGATGACTACTGATGGGTGGTAACATTTGTTTAGTTTCTAGACTAATGCAATATAGCCTGTGTAGATTGAGAATCTTAATTGATGCGACGGTGCACGTAGAATACAAAGAAATGATCAAATTGAGGACGTATTTTTCTAATTTACATTTTGTTTATAACTCTTACCTTATGAGGTAATAGTGATTAATTTTAATGCAACATAAAAGTGTACATCTATTGCCACCTTAAAACTCATTGTTAGTACACCTTTTACACAATTTAGTTTGTTTATTACAACTGTATTTTTTAAAATAACAGCAAAAATAAATGTAAATAACTGACTGTATATCTTATCGCTGTTACTCCTTTATTTTATTTAATAAATGTGATCCGGTTGTACTCCAGAACCTGCAAGTCGAATTGATTTCAAATCATAATTAACAACAAAGACTGCTGCCAATAGAATCTTTTATTTGAAAAAGTACCAATAAAATATCAACGTTACTGCAATTTCTTTATTTTGAACTCAATGCACGTAAACATATATTCATAGCTGTCCACCAGATAATGGTTTTACCTAGTCACATAGAAACGAATTTCAATACTTCAATTTAACCGAAATAGAATCGTCGTGAGAGTAAAACCTTTAAAGATATATCGCATTTTTCTTACTATCATTATGTAAAATACACAATTGTTTATCAATAGTACAAGCTATAAACAAATTATACCTATTGTAATTTGTAAAGATAAAAAAGAAACTTAAGGGTAAAATTTTTAGTAAATTATCTCTTCAAAGCTAAGGCCCATCGGTCAGGTGAGGTAGAGTTCACTTAGTTCAGTGACCTTGATGTAAGAAGGGTTAGCGTAATCAGCACTATGCACAGCCGTCTTTACTTCCCCTAGCGTGAGTCGCTCACCAATCAGAGCTGGCTGGCCCTCGGGACGTCCTGTGGGTTCAAACCCCCGGATCCGAATAGGGGACTCTCGGTTTGGCTGACTGACGTTCTTCAATTCTACCAGGACGTCTCTAAACTAACGTTTCCACATAAATATAATAACAAAATACAGTAACATGTATGTTTATAAATAGTCAAACTTTTCTTACCTAAATAGATTTAAAAGACGGGTCTGTTTTAAAATGATAATCCCAACGGTAAAAGTTAATCTTTTTCATGTACACGTGTCGTGTTTATTTTCCTTGTTATCAATACGAGTATATCGATCATTGATTAGAAACAAAGTGTTTTGTCTTTTAAAATGTCCGGTTATTTTGTTTATTTTATTTTTTTAGTTTTTTTTAAACACACTATTTTTTTTTAGTTTTTGGAATATGTTAAATAGTATTTACATTATTAATTGGGTAAAACGTAAAACAAATATACCGACTATCAAGGAGGCACAAAGATATATATGTACTATGAGACGGCTTGGTGTAGTGATAGAACTCATGACTCTCTTTCCGAAAGGTCTGATTTAACCTCAATATTAGATGGCTATATGCAATAGGCCCAGGAAATAACATCATCATATTTTAAGTATTTTATGTAAAGGTCACAGAAAAGGTAAACAATACTGTATCTTACACTTGACAGTAAGGTTCAAATACCAAACAGAGTTTCTTTCAGGCATCTCTTCGGGGGATGCCCAAAAATTCCAAGTGCCTCTCCCCCCTCCCCCCCCTAATCGTGAAAAAAATGTAAAAAAAACAACAAAAAAGCACTGTGTTGAAATAGGGTAACTTTACTTATCAGTATAAAAATGTAAAGCAACACTACACTTAGAGACGTAGCGACTCTTCCCGGGGACAAACTTTCAATTTTCGATTTGCACGCCCCCCCCCCCCTCGAACTTTCGATTTGCACCCCCTCAAACTTTCGATTTGCAACCCCCCCCCCCCTCAAATTTTTCTCTATATATTTTACTATTTTTTATCTTGGTGTCACCCCCCCTAAATGGTGTCACCCGGTGCGGTCCGCACCCCCCGCCCCCCCCCCCCCCCTCGCTACGCCTTTGAGTACACCAAAAATGTACGTCCCTATTAACAACGATAACTGTACTATCTAAGCTTGTTTAGAGCTGAAATGGTCGAAATTAATAAGGTAAACATATCCTAAATACAATCTCAAGGAAATACCTATATGGGGACGAAGTGAACCTTTTGGGTTATGTAACTTTTTTAACCGCCATAGGTTTCAATAGTGAATAAATAGACGTTTCTGTACAATAACTAACTTGTATCACTACCTTTTACGTTTTCATGGTTAAATTTCCAGCGAAGTTTTTGGTTAATCATCAACACGATTTCTTAAATAGCTTACATTTACAGCAAAGATGAATATTAAAAGCGTTGGAAAACTTAGAACTCATTTTGACATAAATAATAAAATTAACCGAGGCGGCCATTTGGTGAAGTACGTAACAGACGAACGTACCGTCATCACCTGGCTCAAGCGTGATGTTAAACAACGTGTGTAGGACGGTGACAGGCGAGACAAGCACGATAAACACACCATCACCAACATCTTGATCACCTTCAAAATCTACTGTTTTAATGTACAATGGTTTATGCTAATAAAATTTACATGGGATGTAAAGTCTGGTAAAAATTTAATAAAACTTAAACCTCTTAACTTATTAAAACTAAATAAACAAACATTGGTAAATTACTTTTCAGTTTTTAAAATTAGTCAAATTTATGTATGTAGTTTTAAAAAAAAAAATTTCATGTAAATATTAGCCCTTTATGTGCATAGCAACTGATTTATTGTACATGGTAAATCAAATCTCCAGAGGCCATAAAACTTGTTGAAGTGAAAAAATAGTCCAGAATTGTTCTCTGCCTTGTGGGACCATGCAGTAGCCGTTACAAATAGTAATAAGACGATGTATGCAAGTATAGATGTCTACACAGTGTTATGTAGCTGAATGTAGCCATCTCTGCCAGGCTCTGCTCTGGCTTTTGTGAAAAACATATATGTAAATGAACTTGACTTCAGATATTAGTGAGAATAATTATATTTTGTTTAAGAAGTTTAGAGATACACTTCTGGACTAGTGAAATAATTCACCTGTGCTCTTTGTTTTAACATAAGACGGATAGTGTGGTCAATTATTTGCCTAGCCGTCTTTAGTTTCACAAACGTGAGTCAGATGCCACCAGTGCGGTCTGGACAGGGACGTATTCGGCACTCAGTCTGAATCCATTTTTCTTTCTAAATTAGCTGTTGTAAAATCCAATAGGTATTAATTTTAACAACAAATACAAATTTTACTTTAGAAATGAGAGAATGAAAAGTGTATGTGTATGTTGATTTTTTTTTTCACACTGTTAATAACTAAACTACATAGTTATATTGTAGATTTTGTAAGTTTAATTGCTATTTACAACAATAAAAATCATGTACAAACTTATTTCTCGAAATAAATAAAAATCTATTCACTGTGAAGGGAATAAGAGTCCAGTGTTCCAGTATATTCTTCATGTAAAGTTTGTGAACTCCTGAGAGGAACGTACTCGTAGTCTGGTATCGATATGTTATTGTTATCTCGTATTGTTTTAATCGGTGATCCATCTCTAGTCTCTACTATATAGTAATTGTATCTGTTGTAATCGAGATCGGGTTCTTTACCATCGATGTCGATGTAGCTTTCGCTGTCTGATTCGTCCTTCCGTGTGTCAGTACTTTGGGCCGCCATGTAGAGATGACTGTCAGATGGCACAGAATATATGTGTGGCTGTTTGACACCAGCCCGTGTCATAGTCAGACAAGTGCGCCCTTTAGCTAAAAATATAAAATGTGAAGATATATAAGCAGTTTTTTACAACATTAGAAAAGCATTTATGTATATAATTATCTATACCCATACCCATACCTATACCCATACCCACCCACCCACCCATCCATCCATCCATCCATCCATCCATCCATCCATCCATCCATCCATCCATCCATCCATCCATCCACCCACCCACCCACCCACCCACCCACCCATCCATCCATCCATCCATCCATCCATCCATCCATCCATATATATATATATATATATATATATATATATATATATATATATATATATATATATATATATATATATATATATATATATATACTTATATGTATATGTAGTTGCAATACAATACCTTTTACACAATAAATTAATATCATAATTGAAAGTATCAGTACTACAACAAGACTAACAGATCCCACAGTTTGCAATAATAGTGAATTGTGGCCACCAGCTTGAGTGCTGTAGTCTGTTATTGTAGGAAAAAAAAGATTAAATGTTAGGAGCACATTCAAATGTATGTTGTTTTTTTTTACTTAGTCGATCAGTAAAAATCAAGTTTTGATATATATTTATTTACTCTTAATAAGAGCGATTTCAATCTATAATTGAAGATTAAGGAATGAACAGGATATAAATGTCGAAAGAGGGTGAGTCATAAGTAATCTAATTTAATTTAATATTAACAAAGTTAAACAAAAAGTTATTTCCTTAATTAAGTGAATTGAAGGCACCACGTAAAATTCTCGCATTATCCAAATGATTTGTTCCTAAGGCATTAGTGTATACTAGGAACATTCTAACATTATGTAGTTTTATATATACGAGCTGACCCTCGACGTAGCATACGTCGCGATTTAGTTAAATTCCTATTTTTCAGAAATTCATATTTTGTGAATTCGACACTACCAATGCTGCGACTGAAAATATTTTTCTTTAAAACACTATCACTAGCTAGTGAAGGGCGATTATCCTCACCCTAAATTTCCACTCATCCTCCCCCCACCCCGCCTCCGTGAAAGCAGCGCTCTGTGACAATAGTTTACAGGCTACAATGAAAAGAGCAAACAACATGTTATCTCCCCTTAGTTTCAAATCGTTTAAAAACTAAATGATCTGCCCCTAATAGCAGTCACTACGATTGTAGACAGCTCACCTGACTGGTGGGAGTGGGGGTGTTAGCGAAATGGTCTGTTGAACTTGTGGTCTTGGTCAGTGGCGTAGGCAAGGGGGGGGGGTGTTAGGGGGGTTATAACCCCCTCACATGGACCCCTATATATATATATATATATATATATATATATATATATATATATATATATATATATATATATATACATGTATGTATAGGTTTTGAAACTATGCGCTGCTGTCTTCTATTACCTTTACTAATTGTAAATGACGTCGTAACTCCAGAACTAGAGATGAATTTCATCTGGACGACGTAACGTTTAAAATCGTGCTTGGTCAAGTTACTGACCACAATTGTTAAACTCTGGACATTTTTGTCCTCGGTTAAACGGATATGTATGTTGCCTTTGGTCTTGTTTATCAAAAACAAGTAATCGTCTATGTATACTTCTGTTATTTTAAAAACAGTTGGCAGGCAAAACTCAAAAGATGCTGTTTCTCCCAGCTCCTTGGAAATATTTTGATACTTCGAAAATTTTGGGCAAGCTGTTGTATTATCTGAAAGTAAAATAATTCGAGTTTTAGATCAACATCGTTGATGAGTGCATTGCTATGATGGTTTGGTATGTTTATAAGCAATCATGAACAGAAGGGTTTCTTTCAAAACATTTTCTGTGGGGAAAATTTAAGCGTAACAATATTTCCGGTGGATTAGAGGGGTGAGGGGGAGTTGGAAAACACTGGTTTAAGCAAACGAATTTCTCTATAAAGTATCTTTTTTTCGACCAAGTGGTTGGAGGAACTCCCTCACCCGTCCCCCCCCCCCTTATTTCCCATATAAACCTGAAAAATTGTACTGAGCAGATACAGCTATTTAAGTTAATTCTTTCTTACATGTAGAAAAATATATCTATGAGTTAAAGTTGATAAAATAATGGATTTACGAATCATATCAATTTTTGCGTTAACTTTTTGAGCTCCTGTGCGCTGTAGTAAAAGTTTAAGAAAAATGTATTAATAAACTGTCACAGCCCTTTCTTTGACTGGGTCCATGGCACAAACTAAAGGCAAATACAAACCACATTATTGGTGTTTATACAGTCTTTTATTGATATCAGATAATATAGCAGCTACACTACTAGAACAACGACTTCAGTTTCGTCATCCCCTCGCGCTCTAACTACCTCTCTCTGCTTCCTTTCCTTAGCGCATGCGCACACCCATCCTACATTTTATATTCATATCGCCTTTTTAAGATACACACTCGAAACATACATTCATCTACATTTAACTGTTACATAAACATTCCGAATCTCTAGCTGTCTTCCGTTTTAGAGTATACTAGCAAACTTTACTGAATATCTTCTTTTTGTTTTGACCTCTAATATTGCGTAAAATGGTTTTTAAAAAAAATTGTAAAAAAATGCAATAATGAAATATTACAATGAGGTGCTGGTATATGAAAAAAAAATGTTATAAATTGATAGCCCGTTTTGTGAACACATTTAAAATGTAAACCGTGTTAAGAAAATAACTTACACTAACACAGCTAATTTTAAACTTACATTTGTGAGATGTTTTGCATTGTGTTTCAGAACTTTGCATTCCTATCACATTGATGGCTTGACAATAATAATCTAAAACACAAATATTCTGCTATAGAGATTACATACAGACTATATTATGATTGCTGTTGTTGAAATAATTGAAAGATATATGAATACATCAAAGTAATTTGCTTAAACTAAATTGTAAGGAACTTTTTTTAATTAACGGATAATTTAACTCTAGGCAGCTCATCTTTTAAATTATTTCTGCCTTTTCGCTATTGCTTCAACTCCATCTTCTGAGGATTGCCCCCCCCCCCCCCCCCATCCACACCTTTCAGCCCACATTTTTCTTCCTAGTGCTCGTTATTAAGAAACATGAATTACCAATCGTTAAACTCACCATTGGGCCTTTTTTTTCTATTGAATAATGTATATTCTGTTTTCGGTAAAATGAAGAAACTCGTTTCAAACACGAATTTAACAATCTTTATTTTTACATTCTGTTTCCAAAATCAAATGTATACATTGTACTAAAGTTTCCAAAAAAATGAATCGTTATAAAATATAACCATTATTTAAAAGTATATATATTTTTTTAAAAAATCCATTAAGTTGTGTGTTTGAATTAATAAATATTAGGAGAAAACTGCACGTAGATGCTTAAACTGATAACAAATATATAATACATAACATATTTTTAGATTCATCTCGCAATCAGTACAGAAGCAACATGTCGCAAGCCTTGCTTGACGTTCATTTATTTTTCTTCTGTAAACATCTTGTTACCAGTTAGTTATATCAAGTCTCAAGTTTAAGTTAAAGTTCCAACATTACCTTCAACATTCTCCTCCATATCAACAGATATCACTGACGAGTTTATGGACTGTATTCCATTTGATCGCCTGTGGTACCATCTTATTGTAGAGTTAATTTCTCCACTAGAAGCCGCGAACTTACAAGCACAATTCAACATAAACACCCCGCTGTTTTGTACTGTGTAGTTGACTTCGGTGTACACCAAAGGGTTATCTTTTTAAATAAAACAAAAAAGAAATTACATTATTAGTAAAAATACACATATGTATATCACTTTAGCAATTGATTGCTCTATAACTGAGTTACTGTGCCACGCGAAAAGGTAAATCAGGTCAAACTATTTATATCCAATACGCTAGAGTAGTTTCCCTTAGTATTTACAAAGTTGAGAAGTTGAATATTCCATATTTTTAAATGTTAAACATAGATGTAGATTCCAAATTATTTTAGACGTTGGTAAGAGAATTATATAAGCTAGCAGGAAGAGATAGATAGATAGATAGAGAGAGAGAGAGAGAGAGAGGGAGAGAGGGAGAGAGAGAGAGAGAGAGAGAGAAATAGAATCAGTAACGATAGCGTAGTAAATTTAAATATTTCTAATTTAGCGACTTGTTTTTTATATTCACGTAACAGTGATTAGAACAGGCGTTTAATTGACCTAGGGAAATTATGTGACCACGGCACATAGAATAATGGTTGCTAATTTAATTTTCTTAAAATAAGTTCTTAATTAATGAGTATTTTTATAATATAATAGACATAATATTTAAAACTTTTGAAATACGTTTCATATACTAAATTTTAATTATTTTATAACTTTGGTTTCTGTTAAGAATGTGTGCTTAAAGCCTAATTCTTTCAGAGACGTCTTTCATAATACAAATTATCAAAAACATACTTTTAAAATTATAAAACCATATTAATATAACAAAAATATGGTTAAATGATTTACTCTTACATTAAAACACCCATAAATTCTTAGATATGTACTTACCTATTAACGTCTTATAAGTAGTTTGATGCACCAAACTTTGGTGAAAATAAGAGTTAGCGAAGTTTGGTTTCATGAAGAGTCTAGTAATATAAACACCTCTCCTTAACCTGTCTACAGAGATGAACAAACTGCACCATGAGTTGTAGTATACTGGCATCGTATGTGCAATAGCTTCATTGTACACTACCAGTCGATCAAGGTTATAGTTTTCAACCTATATTTATATGCATGGTTATTAAGACAATACTTGAACACATGAAGATATGTATAGGATACAGGATATAACAGAGTTGTAATCAATTGGAGAGTACTGCTTTGCTACTGTAAGATTATATATTTGTGTTTGTGTTTTGATTGTTTTTATGTTTGCGTTTTTTGTTTTCTTTTGTGTTCATGTTTGCTTTTGTGTTTTTGTTTGCTTTTTTGTGTTTATCTTTGTCTTTGGGTTTGTGTCTGCGTTATGTTTGCGTTTCTTTTTGGGTTTTTGTTTTGTTGGTTGTGGTTAGTGTTAAGTTTAAAGTTAGAGTTGGTATTAGGGCTATGTGTTCTTTTATCATACGTCCATGTCGGGTATATGCTGCTTAATAAACACATAAGTTATGGTCCTTTACTGATAGGTATTTTTACACTACACAGAGGCCAGTGCTTGGCCTGGCTGTGACGGCTAGTATATATATATATATATATATATATATATATATATATATATATATATATATATATATATATATAAGTACAGTTTCCCTTTCAAACCTGACGGTCTATGGGGCAAGTAAAGTAGAGTTCACTTGTTTCTGTGACCTCGGCATATGAAGAGATAGTGTGGTCAGCACTATGCCCAGCCGCCTTTACTTTCCCTAACGTGAGTTAGGTAATCATCAGAGTTGGGTGGACTCAGGGACGGTCTACTGACTTTAACCCGGATTCGAACTCGAGACTTACGGGTTAGCAGTCCAGCTCTCTACCGCTAGACCACTCCGTCCCATATATATATATAGATACATGTATATATTTATATATGTACATATATATATATATATATATATATAATTATATATGTACATATATATATATATATATAATTATATATATGTATATATATATATATATATATATATATATATATATATATATATAGGTACATGTATATATTTATATATGTACATATATATATATATATAATTATATATATATATATATATATATATATATATATATATATATATATATATATATATATATATATATATATATATATATATATATATATATATATGTGTGTGTGTGTGTGTGTGTGCGTGTGTGTGTGTGACAATTGATCTTATCTAGAAAATCTCATAAATGTTACGGTACAAACTAATCAGTTTTTAAATACCTCGTCTATGAATAACTCTCGATGGCAGCTACTGGAGGGGTAAATTTTTGCCAACGAACATGTCATGTTTAACCCGTCGGCCCCAATGACTAGTGAGCAAACTGGCTGTGTCCATCGAGCTGTAAGAAAACAAAGATTCTTCACATTCTTAATACAGTGTAAGAAATGCAATGTTTCATATAGACGATGTTTCACTCGATAAAGACCTGTTTCCTCTCGTCCTCATTTCAATAAATTTTGCCATGTTACCCTACTATTAGTTTCATAAAGAAAAGTGCTTTGAAATTTCAAAAACTTACAGTAAACTTTTAAATCGCACAGAAATAGTTCCGTGTTTCGGGCGTCCATAAATCTCCAGACACTCTCAGCAAACAGAGGTGAAACTCTGGTAACATTGTAAATCTCGAGTTTACTCTTGAAACGATTGTTGTTTAAGTATTCAACTGTGATCTTAAAGTCTTGTGAGTAAGTGTTACAGGTTTGCGAGTTGCTATCACATGAACCTACGACCTCTTCATTACGTGACCAGTTCCATTGTGAATGGCCTTGTATATTTAGGACTGTGGTGGTGAGAACATATTCAGTTCCCTCCTCAGCGGGCACACACAGATTAACAGCTGATGATAGTATACATTGAATGTATTATTCGATATGTTTGTTCGCTGTAAAATATGATTAAATACGAAATAAAATAAAACATATAACGAAACAATGCATATATTTAAGTATACTTACATGTTATTCTGAGATAGATGATGATTAAAACTGTTGCGGTTTTGGAAAATATCATGTTTTCTAAAATAATTAATGTAGACACGTTTTCTCCAAATAATTTTAGTAAGTGTTTCAAAAGGTTAACAGTCTCGGCTTCTGTGACAATAACAATCACTAAAACAGTTTGAAACGTCTTTTTCTTTCAAACTTGACGCAGAGTATTAGTAGATACGAAATGAGCATCCGGAGTATGTAGGACTGAGAAAAGATACAAGTAGTAAACAACGAATTAAAAGGTCACTAGTGTTACACTTAACTTCCGGTGCAGTTTGTTTTCAGTATTTCGCAAGATGTATAACTTATTTTACCGCCACATAATATATGACCCATTTCCTACTAGGGTTTTCCAGGGTATGTCGCAAGACAGTTTTGAAAAATGTAACAAAGTAGGTCACTAGACGTCTGGGTTAATCCAATTCGAATTTTGAAAGACTATTTTTCATCTACTCATGTAATTGTACAGTTAGTTTGGCCTCTGTTAGAATTATATCAAGAAGCTTTTATAGAATCTTTGGTAAGGTTAGGATGGGGGGGGGGGGGGGGGAGAGGGAGAGAAAGGGGAAAAGCAACGAGTGCACAAAAACATTTCTCAAACTTTATCAAAACACCAACTTGCATTCACAGAGAGAAAATAATATTAAGAAACACTATTATAACAATATATCGAACCGTTAAACTTTATATATTCCTTTGTATAATTTTATTTGTGCAAGATAAAACGTTGCAAGGGAAGTAATCCTTTTTTAAAATATTTGTTTTATAAAGGCTTTTGTTTAGCTTACTCAGTATATATATATATATATATATATATATATATATATATATATATATATATATATATATATATATATATATGTGTGTGTGTGTGTGTGTGTGTGTATGTCTGCCTGTCTGTCTGTCAATGTGTGTGTTTGTGTGTGTCTGCTGTAGTATCAACTTCTTTTTACACGAACGACAAAAAAATATTTGAAAATTGCCTAAAAACGTTTAATAACAAGCTTTTGTGCAATAATGCACTAAAAAGAAGAAAATAAATGATTTTCTTTACGTTTATTCGAATACTCTGCTATTTAAATAAATATAAAGATACCTTTACTAATATTTAGGAAGCCACTCACAGTTTTCTTTATATTAATTTAAATAGTAGAGTATTTTTATATATTTAAAGAGAATCGTTTATTTTCTCATTTAAGTGTATTAAGAATAAAAGCTTGTTATTAAAACGTTTTTTATGCAATTCTTTTCAGTACTTTATAATTTTTATTTACAACAGAGTTACATGACTAAAAACTACTGCGCTCCAAATCAATATGAAAATGCGTGGATAATAGTGCGGAAAGAGTAGTACAATGCTGCTTACTATTCTGAGAAAATTTTAATTAATTCATAAAAATATAAATAGGCATCTAGTTAAGTCAAATTTAATTTCATATTTTTTTTTTCTTCATGTCTTGACCCACGTGTAAACTTTGAAATGAATCTGTCAGTTAGAAGTGCCCCAAATTTTATTTTCCCGTATTGATCTAGACATACGACAGACAGGTGAAAGAAGTTAAATAAAAGCTTGAAAAAATGTAAAGGAAAACAGATTTTATTATATTCACAAATCACAAAAAAATTACAAATGAAATATGCACTAAGAGGTAAAAAATAAATAGAGCTATATATGCTGGTATGATTAAATATAAAAGCATGGGCTCTCACTTGTGGAAGATATATTCCATTTCGTAGGTAGTTGGTAGGTGCATGTTCTATATTCTAAATCATATTATAAGGCCTATGTTATTTTTTTTCTCTAAACATCCAGGATTTTATTGTTGAATTGCCTTTTTTACAATCTTATTTAAAAAGTGTAATACATTTTAAAGTAATTGAAACAAATGAAAAATATTAACTATAATTGAATAATTTACATTGCAATAATGGAAAGGAGTAATATTTATTTTTGTATTAAAAGTGTTTAAGAAATAAAAGCTCAAAAGCTAGCAAATGGAATTCTCTAAAGTTGCCAAAAAACATTAAACTAGTAAGGTACAACCACACACATTAGATGGCAAAGACTATCGAACACTTTAAAACAAAAATAACGTTACTAGATTTCTTCAAGTCTTCAACATAGTTTGTGCAAATAAGTTCATGAAGTTTTGCAATATGCAGCACAAAATTTACTCCTATGTTCTGGATACCTTATATTTTTCTTGTGTTATACAAGCCTAAGAAATTCAATCATAAAAAATAAGTCATGCAGGAAACAACACAATAAAGATTCGGATCAGCAGCTACATCCGGGGCTTTTCCTTGCCACCTTGATGTGTGCTATCAAGCATGGATTGTACAGCTAGACCCTACCGTCTCCTTGCTATTGTTTGAACTACACTTATTTTTACATGCTTGGTTGGTTTGGTATACGTGTCAGACCGAGTTATTGACGTATTAGAATTTAAAATAACATGTTCTTACAAGTTGCAACTACCCATTCCCTGGCAAAGACTGGGAGAAAAATGTAACATGCCGATACCTGTTATCACTACAACATACCAGTTTAAATCCGAATACAACAGCCTATTTTAAAGTTCATTTTCAAACAGACAAAAACGTTTTCTATTTTTAAAAAAAAAGCTTTCTCTAAATGTATTAAATAATTTTCTACTATAACTTTTAGTGCATAAAGCTTATTACTTATAGCAATTATTTTACTTAAGTTTTATTTTCTCCTTTTTAATATGTAGGAATTAGCGAAAATTATAACAAACACATTAGCTTGTGCATATTCGAACACTCATACTTAAACACATATACACAAAATGATTAACTTCACATATGCAAATAAAATTCACTAATTTATTCTAAAAACAATAAAACATGCTCATCAGATTATTATTTTTAAAAATCTAACGGTTGTTAAAATATATAGTAAACATTTCGATTAACATTTTATCCTATGTATTACAACAAATTACAACAAATTACAATTATTTATTTTTTTAATTGATCATTGAGTAAATGTCATTTTAGCATAACAAAATGTCAATTTCAACCTAAACTTCTGAAAAAGTAATCGATAAGATTTCAGTTTAATTTTGAATTTGATAATTTGAGCTGTCTGTAAGATTAAGATTATTAATATAAGAAAACTGCAGCTATCGTCCACAACACTGTAAAGGAGACGCAGAAAACACTGCACAAGACTTTATTTAATGCCACAAAATATAGTCATTGGAGTGTGACGCAAGTGTACACGTTAATCCAAAAGAATTGCTTAAAGTCGTCTCGCAAGATATTATCTTTGACAGCTGGGAACGCGTTACATTCATGTTCCATGTACCAAATTTTAATAAGCTTTTATTTATTTTTCTGCCTGCCTGCTTTCCCGCGTGATTTCAGTCTGTGTCCATATGATTATCTTTAGTTCTTTTGTCTCTGATTCTTTGTCTCTCTGATGATGAAAAAAGTAGAACCCATTAAACATATAAATACATATGTAAATACATATGTTAATATAAAAATGTTAGTTAATCTAGGTTTTTGCAGTTTAATATAAAAGAGCGTTCCCTCCAATTGTTTTCTAAAACTGAGTTAAATATTTAAATGAAATATTTAAATTGAAATATTTATATTTAATTGTAAACAATGCCCGTCAATATTGGATGATGCTTCTTAAAACTAACGTAGGCGCCATAGTACTCAATGGATAGCCCAGGGCACCTAATCGCACAGTGCCTGATGAAATTTACTTAACGACTACAATACCCCAATCTCATCCATAGTCTATAACACTGTTTAAAACGAACGTAGGAACCATAGTGCTCTGTCCTGGGAGCAAAAGCACATATACTGGGGCGTTTTAGTTTAGTGAACGACTACAATGCCCCATTGTATCCATATTCTATCGCACTGTCTAAAACAAACGTAGGTGTCATAGCGCTTACAAGATAGCCCGGGGCGCCAAAATTGCACCCTACTAGGGCGCCGGCTAAAGCGCCTGATTCAATTTAGTCAACGATTATAACGCAGCCATCTCATCCGCGCTGTTTAAAACGAACGTATGTGCCATAGCGCTCAAAGAAAAACCCGGGGCACAAATAGCACCCTGCCGGGGAGTCGGCTTAGGCACATGATTATGTTTAGCGAACGACTCTAATACATCATCATATGCAGAGTCTATCGCACTGCTCAAAACAAACGTAAGCCATCGCACTCACAGGAAAGCCTAGGGCGCCAAATTGCATACTGCAGATACCTCCCTAGGAGTAATCTCAACAGCTTCCCAAAGTTTCATGACGATCGGGTGAAAGGTGTAATAATGCAGGCAAACAAAAACACACTCACATGCATTCCTTTATATCTATCAATAAAATTCTCTTCTTGGAGACGATAGAAAACAAGCTGTAAGCGAGCTCCCTATCACCCCCACCCCTTCATGGGTTTAGTGACGGCTATTAGGGGCAGATAGTGTAGTTTGAAACGATTTTAAACTTAGGGGAGGTAACTAAGAGGAGTTTGCTTTCAAACTTTTGGGGAGGGGGTAGGGGTTGTGGGAAAGGAGGGGTTATCGTCCTTAACGACCATCTGATAGTGTTTTAAAGCAAATATTTTCAGTGGCAGCATTGTTACTGTCGAATTCACAAATTATGAATTACTGAAAAGTAGAAAATAAAACAACTAAATAGCGGCGTATAATACGCTGTGGGTCGGCTCGTATGATAGAAAGCTTAACTTAGCTTAAAAAACTCTTTGATTCAAGTTTTGTAATTTGTTATGTAGTCGATTGCAAATAAAAATAGATTGCCAATTTCAAGCAGTGTAATATTTTTTACGAGCTGCATACCCTTGTTTCGCTTCAGTGTGAAAATTTTAAAAAAGAGACACAGAGGAACAAAATTGTTTTTGTAATTCTCGTAAAATAAATTTAAATTCCACAGGCGGCTTTCCCCAAAACACTTATTTAAAATATCAATTTTTACATTAACTACTTGTTACTTACATTTTCTTCTGAACATGCTGTTTACTTACTTTTTTGCTTAGTTAATATTGCTATTATTTTTTATACTTAAATTAACTACAGAAATAACATAATTTGACAATAATTAGCAACATAATTGTTCTTAGCTCGAATACTACTTTACAATAGAGTCGAATATATATATATATATATATATATATATATATATATATATATATATATATATATATATATATATATATGTTACGGTCAAAGCCCGAAGTGCGGCCAAAGCGCG